GCCTTTTTCTCCCAGAGTCGTGGATTGTCAAATTGGTATCGATGCGTATACAGTGGTGTTGTGTAGCAAAACAATTCTTAAACTACGTTTTAGGCTATCAATGAGTTATCTTCTTGAATTTGTATCATCGTCTTGAACTAAGACGCAGCGTTTTCAAGAGAAAAAAATTCTGTTACCCTCCGCTCTGTAAGTCCAAGTCAACATATTCAAGCCCTCCTTTTATCAAACGATTATTGTCTCAATCGCTCCAGAAACGCTTTGATGGGGGAGTGTTGTGTCGGAAACCTACCACCCCTCTTGAAGATGAACTGCGTCTGTGAACAAAGACTTTAAATATGGCATGTCAGTTGACATGAGAAAGACAGATAGACAGAGAGGGTAAGACCTCGAGTCTAGCTGAGTCGTGACACAGTCTTTTGACTGTAAGCGACGTCTGTCGAACGCTCTGCGTTAGAAGAGGAACCTGTACGAAGCTTTGCCGAATGGGCAAGGTTTCGTCCGGGGAGGTAGATAGGGCCTGGAACCCGTCTAGGCGGGTTCAAAGGCTATATATTTTTGGCCGAGCCTACGGGCTCGGGAATACCCACATTAAAACCGGCCTTGTGCCATATTCAATCCTCGTGGGTGGATCGATAAATACTAAGACAGATAGACAGAGAAGTTCTTTGCTGAGCTAGTTATTGACTACTCAGGCGATTTCTGTACCTTTTTACCAACCTATTAAAACCCTTTTTATTGTTACGTGTTATTTGGCGTTTGTCTCTACTAACCCCAAATCAACATCATAACAGGGAGTAAGTTCTCAGATTCAAGAATTGTTTGAAAACTTTTTCACGTCAAAACTGCGGAATTCTATTCAAACGCTATCGAGGTACTTCCTGATGAGTGGCAACATATTTAGGGCATCCGTCGGTTTTGTGATACCGGATGAGTTTTGCCCTCATCAGGGCGCAGGCCTGGGCAGGGTTTTTTTTTTTTTCATAAGAGATCGACAGTATCCGATGCAATCATTTTCTCACTCAACACCACCGTTATCCAAGCGATGTCGCAGGAGTTACCAAAACGAAACTAAACATGGCATCGCACTGTCTTTAGGGATACCGGCCCCCGGTTTGAATTCAGAGCTTTTTTCCTTCTCCTCGGCCTGTTGCCACTTAAGGCTATAGAACTAATCTGCCCTACTATTTACCAAATTCCTTACAATAATGTTGGATATGTACATTATTCGGTTTATTGTCCTCATCTTGTCGCCATATTCATTTGAAAACGCGCCGGTTTTTCAGGTGGTTGAATGTCTGAAAAAAACCTTTATTTCGCTTACTGGGGTAGACGCTACTACTTCCATGTTCCATGATCAATCGATGTCAGTTATCAGTTGTCTCCTGTTAATTCCCCTCTCCAAGTAAAGGCGTTGGTTAGATCCAGTGACAAGACCCGGTTAAGGCAGTGGAGAACTTTCAGAGGGGAATTAACAGGAGATAACTGATAACTGACATCCATTAAAACATGGCACGTGGAACTAGTATAGTATACTCCAGTGAGCGAAATAAAGGGTTCAGTTAGACATTCCAACCACCTGAGGAAGGCAGGAGCTTACAACTTCCGAAACGTTGTATTAAATATGGCGACAGAGATGAGGACAATAGTCCGAATAATGTAAACAGTGTACATAATACCTCATCTCAGAAATATAGACAGATACTGAAAGGCCGAAATATGGTTTTTGTATTGTACTTTATTCTTAAATAAATGATGTTGATAAGCAAAAGCCGAAATTATTTATAACTCAACTTAAGATTATCATCAAGCCTTGGACGCTTCGGACGTGACCCTTTGTGCCAAAAGGGAGTCGGCTTAATCAACCCCAACAGATGTATTAATGAGATGCAACCAAAGCGTACTGACCTTATGGAATCACCCATTCAGAGCCTTCAAGTCGATCGTTAATAGAGTTACGCCCATTTATGCCATTTACTGATAGTCGTTATTTCTTCAAAGGAGGAATTCTTTTATTTAGTCGAGTGCTGTTGGTGCTGATGTACACCGAAAGCCCTTAGCCGATAGGGGTGGAGTACTTAAATTGGTCCGGTTTAATTAAACGTCATCAGAACTTGCTCAAGAACGAGCCGAACAATGGCGCTGTTGTTCATACCCTTTTCACCTATTCACACTAAAGAAGATAATCCAGTCGAATGTTATGCCTAAAAATAGAGACTCTTTTTGTTATAAAATAAAAATTAGTGTGGGTGATACAGAAATTAAACATACGATAGGATGTACTCAGGGTAGATTTTGTCGAACATTGCAAGAACCCAATAATCGTAATAGAAAGAGTAATGCACTCACCATCATCATTATTGTCATCATCATTATTATTAGTGCAATGACCGGATGTGGTTGTAGGGTCGATGCGCATTTGAGAACCTGACAAGTTCCTTCCTTTTGTGTATGGATCTGTTATAAAATATTTATGATAGAAGATGAGGAATCTGAACATTGGATAGTTTGCAGCAATGATGGTTTTGTCCAAGATCATAAAAAAGGCTATAAATGCAAAATAATAATCTGTAAACTCTAGTAGGGCTCGACAGATCTGAGATCTCTTACGGATGGCATGCATGACGACCAACTAGTGCAAAAATATCTAAATTATTATCCCTATACAAAATCCAGAGACGGATATGCATTATAATTGGCCCTCATCTGGCATCTCGTCTGAAGTCGCTCTCTCACAGACGTAATGTCGCCTCTCTCTGTCTTTTTTACAAATGCTTTCATGGTAACTGCTCCAATGAGCTACTTTCGCTGGTTCCCAGACATCATGAATTTAAGCGTTCTGCTAGGCTGGCATCTCCCTCACACCCTTTCACTGTCGAAACTGTTAAATGTAGCCGTCTCTTCTACTCCAATAGCTTCATGTCTCGCGCTTCTCGCCCGTGGAACTCCCTCCCCTCTTCCTGTTTCCCTGATAGCTATAATCTCCAATTATTCAAATGTAATGTCAATCGACGTCTCTAGATGCCCTGATCTATCTCCTATCCCTCTCTTCATCCTTTCCTCTATCAATCCTCTTTGCTCTCGCTCCAACTCTCAGTAACCCCTTGCGTGCTAGTGGCTTCCCGCCTTTGTTCGGCTGAAACGCTTAAAAAAAAGGTATGTCTTGGGCAAGATAATATACTGTATGGTTCTGTTATAAAATATTTATTGTAGGAGATGAGGAATCTGAACACTGGATTGGTTGCACCAAGTGTTTTGTTCAACACCGTAAAGATGCTAAAAATCAAAACCTTAACTTAAAAACTAGAACCATATTCTTAAATAGCCTCTTCAGATGTAGTCTCTCACGTGGATGTCATATATGACATCCAACTGGTTCAGAAATATCGTCAACATCATCGCCGTCATTAGTTCCATGACATGGCGTGGTCATAGTGTCGCTACGCAGCTAAATCACCTGAGCAGCTGCCGCCGCATATCATGTTGACAGCTGGAGAGGTAGAGTGTTTTGGCAAGCGGACATGGCGGGTCCCGTCCCTCTTCAACACCGCATCTCCTCTAACTTGTAGCCATGCCTTGGTCACGGACACATCGCCACAGTTGATTCTATCAGGGCAGACCTTTGTCCTGGTCGTTGTCCTCAGTCTAAGAAGCTCTACTCGTGTTGCCATTTCACAGGCTGCATCCATAGCTATAGAGCCCCGTTTAGCCCACTGTGCTAAAAGACTATTGACCTTACCAGAAGCTTTGACAGGTGTTGTTTTTAAACCTAGCGAATGCCTGTCTACTCTCGTCACCAAAATATCCTGGTGCGGGAACCAGTTTAGTGATACAATAACCTTATTTTATTGTCTTTATAGCCATTTTATTGTAACTCATCTTATTGTAATTAGACGCACCTTATTGTATCTACATGCATTTTGTTGTACCGAGAGGCATCTGATTGTAACTATAAGAATCCTATTGTAACTAGACGCATCCTATTGTCACTAGACGTATCATAATGTAAGTAGACGCATTTTATTGTAACGAGAAGCATTTTACTGTAACGAGGCGTATCTTATTGTAAGTATACTTATACTATTGCAACTAGACGCATCTTATTCTAACGAGACGCATTTTATTCTAACTAGACGCATCTTAGTATAACTATCCATACCCCATTGTATCTAGACTAATTTCAGCGTAACCAAGCGCATCTTATTGTAACTAGACGTGTCGTATTGTAACTAGACGCATCTTTTTGTAACGAGACGCATTTTATTGTACCAATAGTTTTTGTAAGGAGACGCGTTTTATTGTAACTAGAGGTATCTTCTCGTAAGGAGACGGGTTTTATTGTAACTAGAGGTATTTTCTTGTAAGGAGACTCGTTTTATTGTAACTAGAGGTATCTTCTTCTAAGGAGACTCGTTTTATTGTAACTAGAGAAAGGAGACTCGTTTTATTGTAACTAGAGGTATCTTCTTTTAAGAAGAAACGTTTTATTGTAACTAGAGGTATTTTCTTCTAAGGAGACTCGTTTCATTGTAACTAGAGGTATTTTCTTGTAAGGAGACTCGTTTTATTTTCACTATAGGTATCATCTTGTAAGGAGACGCGTTTTATTGTAAACAGATCGGGAGTGTCATTAAAAATATCATACCTTCCGTTGATGCTATCATCCTATCAGATTATTGAGTAAACATTTCAAATACCTTATTATATATACATGGAAGGGTTTGTTTTTTTTTAATTGATGGGTTGTCAACTTTTTGTAGGTTATTTGAATATAGAAAAACATTTCAGATTGTAAGATTTTTTTTTGTTTTTGTTTGAGGATAATAATCATTTAGTGATGGAAGTTTTATTAATTAACCCATAACTGAGGAGAGATGGATTCATGCCTTTCCTAATGTTATTTGCGCTTAAGCGAATATGAAAAATCCAATCGGAATTGGAACTCAGATCTCCGATTAACAATCAACAGGCTATTATTCATTACACCCCACCCCACATCCAAGCTTACAGCACTTGGTATTCCCAAGCAGTCACCCATCGATGTAGCAGGCCCGACGTTGCTTAACTTCGGTGATCGTACGGGAACCGGTTTTTCAACATGATGTGGAAGTGGAATCTTATTAAAAAAAAACAGATTTTTCCTATTATGAGGGTGCTTATTCAAGAGAGGGGGTCTATTCGAGGAAGCGGTTATCAAGAGAGGGGGCTTATTCGAGGGAGGGGGTGTATTTGAGGAGGGGTTTATCGAGAGAGGGGTTTATTCGAGGGAGGGGGTGTATTCGAGGAAGGGTTTATCGAGAGAGGGGGCTTATTCGAGGGATGGGGTGTATTCGAGGAGGGGTTTATCGAGAAAAGGGGGCTTATTCTAGGGACGGGGCTTATTCGAGGGAGGGGGCTTATCTGAAGGAGAAGAATTATTCGAGGGGAGGGGTTTATTCGAGAGAGGGTGATTATTTGAGGAGGTGTTATTCGAGGGGTGCTTATTAGACGGAGGATGCTTATTCGAAGGAGGGAGCTTATTCGAAGAAGAGGAATTATTCGAAGGAAGGGGTTTATTCAAGACAGGGGAGCTTATTAGACGGAGGATGCTTATTCGAAGGCGGGGGCTTATTCGAGGAGGTGTTATGCGAGGGGGGCTTATTAGACGGAGGATGCTTATTCGAGAAAGTGGGCTTATTCGAAGGAGAGGAATTATTCGAGGGGGAGGCTTTATTCGAGAGAGGGTGCTTATTAGACGAAGGATGCTTATTCGAGGGAGGGGGCTTATTCGAGCAAATATGGTACTTTCGATTCTTCGCCAGATTTTATTTCTTTTGTCTTCAGATTTCTCTTACATTTTTTGTTTCTTTTCGTTCCTTCTCTCTTTTTCCTCTTCCCGTGTATCTTTCTTTCTTTCTTTTTCTCTTTTCTTCCTCCTTTTTGTCTTTCTCTGCGTTTCTCTCTCTTCTTCATAGTTTTCTATCTTTTTGACTCTCTCCTATACAATCAACCCCGCTCTCTCTCTCTCTCTCTCTCTCTCTCCCGCTCTTTCGTCATTCCTCATGTCCTATTGACAGCTTTATTGATCCTCGTCCTTTTGTGTCTAGACGCTTTCTTTTATAGCCCTCCATGAAAAACGGCATCAACTTCCACCTACGCTATCTTTATTTCCTTAGGTCAACCATTCTTGTCTTTCCCCAGTTTCTACGCCCAGGTTTGACTGTCGTCGTCCACTTTGCTCTCAATGACGCCCATCCGTTCTTTTCCCACCCCGAAAGCCTCACGTCTGGACGCAGCGGCTTGGAAAAGCGCCACGTCACGGTCTGCTGCACAATTGATGCTCGGAGAATTGGCCGTCTTTATCGATGACACACGAGCGTGGAATGGTAGATTATTTGAATGCAAATGATTGATAAAGACGGAAGCCTGGGACAAAGACCTAGCCGCAGGTCTTCTCCATAAATAGCCCTAATGGAGTTTTGGGTTTGATTATTCAAGACAGTCACACGAACAAACGCGCGCGCGCGCTTTCTCACGCGCACACACACACACACGCACACACACAAAATCTCTCTCAGACACGCACAAATACATATACACATATAACAGATAAACGCAGACACAAAAATATGCGTAAACGCATATACATACAACACGCAAACATGCACATACACATACACACGCATAGTCAAGCAAATAAAATACACACGCTCAAACGGAAATCGATGAACACATATACATATATAAGCACATACAAATACACGCATATAGATGCACAAACACATACTCAAAAGTAAGCACACATACGTAAATACATAGCACTCATAGACACACACGAACACATATACTCATGCACATTCAAATATAGGCACACACAAAGCACATACACGCAAACGGATCTGTACATACAAACATACAAATTCTTAGAAAGTCACATACAAATACGTATACACATACACAATACGTGTGTACACACACTCACGCATAAGACATACAAATACACACAGAAACACAAACCAAATCACATATACATACACATATATGCACATATACACATAAAAATGCATACATATTGAGAAACAGGTACACGCATAAACGCACACGCACAAATAAACGCACCCAATGACACACACATACATACACATAAACACATACATACACACAAACACACGCATACACACAAACACACGCATCCAATCAGACACAAGCACACCAATGCACACAAAATCACACATCTAATCACACACAGAACAAAAACGTATCCATACAAACACACATATGCAATCACACACACACACGCACACACACAGAGGCATAAGTATACACACAAACATACACATCCAGTCACACACACACACAGGTATAAACACAAACACGCGCATCCAAGTACACTTACGTAACATGCAAACACGTATACACACTAACATAGTCATCCAATCAAACACACGCAGAAACACACGTATCATAAACACACACATCCAATCACGCACACACAGAGACACTTGTATCACTCAAATACACCCATCCAATCACACACAAAAACACACATCCTGTCACACGCACACCCACAAACACGTATCGAACATCCATTCACACACTCACACACACAGACGCATACATCTATATAATAAATGCGGATGTCTGTGTTTCACTGTTACATATTTTCCACTTTACTCCTAGAGGCCGTCGTAGTTCGAATCGGAATTAGAGATTTAGAATTTAACTTAAACAGCAGACCCCAAATCGACACCTAGGCCAGATAAAATGCCCGAGATTGTGGTAGGGTGAAGACGGAAGGTACCTCTCTAAAAAAATTAAGAGGCTCGATAGAGCCAATCCAGATATTAAGTTTATGACCCTCAGTTCGGGTTATATGAAGAATGAGGAGTTGCATTGAAACTAAACTATAAATTATATATAAAAAAAAGAGTTTAGGATCACACTAGAAAATACCAAATTCTACAACAGACATGTATTAACAAGATTAAAAATAAATCACCTTTAGATAATTCATGGTTGGATAAAACCAACGCATTTTATACCTACATGAGGTTAATTTTGGATTTGGTGGGGGGGGATTTTTTTTTTTTTTGCTATGTAATTTATATGCTCTGTTATAATAAATACTTTGAGCTCTCTGTGTGATTCATTTTTAATATTTGATATTATTGGGATCCACCTGGATTACATACCAATGGATCTATTACGTGTACTATATATTCCAGTCGAATCCATTACATTCACTTACGTGCTAATACCTTTGGGAATGGTGTGAATACTCTTCTCTCTCCAGCTATGGGTAAATAGCAGGACAGACTGGGTTCTATTTGCCTTGGATGGCAGCTGGTTTAGGAGAAGGACAACTTTGAATTCAAAACCTGCGGAGGGTCGTTTGGGGGCCTTGTGGCACTTAGTGCACCAGGTCTCTGTATTCGGCACTTCAAAAAGTGTGGATGGCTCTGCACGAAACCTTCACCACTATAATCAAATCTCATGTGCTGTTGTCGGACTGTCGGTTTCCTAGGAACTGAACTGCTTAACCCACATACGTCGAATTCGACGGGAGAGTTGAGTGTATATATATATATATATATACAGTGTAACCCGGATATAAGAGAGTTGTCGGGACCGGAGAAGTCTCTTATATCCGGGTTTCTCTTATATCCGGGTTTGGTCTATTTTGTTTAGGTAAGTATGGCTCTAATTTGGGACCAGAGAAAATCTCTCTTATATCCGGGTTTCTCTGATATCCGGGTCTCTTATATCCAGGTTACACTGTATATATATATATATATATATATATATATATATATATATATATATGTGTGTGTGTGTGTGTGTGTACTATATTATATTATTAATAATATTATTAATATATTTTATTTTGTTTTATTCCTACTTTGCTGGTAATCTTTAATAGTTTATGTATTAACTCTAAATTATATTGATGTGCATGAAGTTTCACCCTGATATGCCTACATATGATAACTCACTCTTCCTTCTTCGCCCCCCCCTGTTCAACTCTTTCTTTCTTCTTCCTTTTCCTCCCTCCCCTGCTTTACAATTTGTTTTCTTTTTTTCTTTTCTTTTCCTGTCTAAAACTTATCTAAGATGTCAAATTGTTTGGCCTATTGACTGAGTGCACTTGAAACTACGTAACTTTTTAAAGATAATTTAAAAGCAACCCTTTCCCTATCTTTCATTTCTAATTTAGATCAATCTATGGACCTCCACCTCCCACCCCCCTCTGTCACCTTACATCAATCTAAAACTATCCTCTAAAATCTTATATTAAAAATAAAAGAAACCAAATTCCTTCTTAACTAGAGATGTGACCTGATGAACCAGGAAAAATATATTTTCTGGTGAAATAAATTATAGTCATGGAACCTTAACATTGTCTCTTTCTGAATTATTTAATTAATATTTGCTCTGGTGTTACATTGAGCTCTTTCGATTACATCTTCTTTAGAATTATCCACACGGATTACCAAACCCTTCATTACTTATATATATATATATATATATATATATATATATATATATAAATATAATATCAGTGGTCATTTATGTATATATATATATATATATATATATATATATATATATATATATATATATATTCAAGAAAGACATTCGGATTACTAACACAAAAACAGAAAATGTCTCATATCGAGAATATTTAACATTGAAAAACATAAGGAAAAATTAATTATTTTTAATAATATGCGAAAATCTCCGCTTTTACCTGAAGATGGTCACGAAACCAGAAACTCGTGTTGTAAAATTATGGAAAATAAAGCATAATATTTTAAAAAATCCACAATACAACCAAAGACGTTTGCGGCATCTCTCTTCTCTTCTTTTTAATGTATATATATATATATATAAATTCCCAAGAGGATACAATCCAGGTAGAACTGAATGTCCAGGACAGAGTAAGAATATAATATAATGTAACATAACATAAAAGGCCCAAACACTATTTTTTCTCCCTCTCTTTAATCTTCTCTTTTCTTGTATACATAAAGTTAGTAATGCAAAGCAGACGGAAAATTTTCCCATATGCATCGGCAGTATGAATTGGCTGGATTTTAAGTTTAGATCAGATCGTTTTTTA